TGAAGCAATATGTACGAAGATCTTAAGAAAAGGCTAGTGTAACAAAGACAATTACTGTCAGTGTCTTTACAGAAATAAGGATTGCATTGATTGAATCTTAAAAGACTAATGGACTTATACAATTTCCTTTCAGGTGTCCAAAGTACTCTCTAAAGAACAGCAAGTATCCTAAAGATAAGAGGTTCTACAGACACAGGCCAAGAAAACAAGAAGGGAGCAGCCCGGTGGGTTATCTCAAAAGATCTGAGAGCGTAGAGAAAGAGTCTCTACTTCATAGAGTTAGTAGTTGTAACAGTTCAAGCAGATGGCTTGGATCCCAAGATGTATCCAGTGAAAAGGAAAAATTGAAAAACTGGTATCCCACACCAGAGCAGATCTCCGTTGACACTGGTAGACAAGGAGTTCAAGACAATTCCATAACATGGAAAACACCATCAGCAAGACCTAGGTGAACAACCTTATTTACAACTACAAATGAGCCCAGCTCTTCTTAAGTTCCACCTCAATGCAACCCATGACGTTGCAAATACTCCAAGCAAACATGAGCCTGTGAACTATGCTGACACAGGACACTGTCCACGTTGCGGATGGAGACACTGCAACAATAAACCACAATTGTACTTTGCAACTTCTCGCTAAACAACAAACATACATTTGATGCATGACAACGTGCTGCGGTCATTGCGAAAATCCTACGATCAAATCGGAATTTCAACAACAAAGATTTAAACATGAAGTTCAGACTGGACAGGCTTCAAACATCTACCAGCTTGTTACCAAAAACCGAAGACGAAGATGAAAAGAGGAGCCCTTTTGAGAAAGACCAGAATTGGCAGATTATCTGGACAAGATGACCTCCCAGCACAGTTCCACAGCACATCACGGAACTCAGAACTCCATATTGTAGTCCTGGTCTGAAAAGGAAAGGTGTCAATAGTAAGTTGACAGTTGTGGACGAGAGTAACTTTTATGACCAGTAGAACGTAAACAAGCACGTTACAACAAGAGCTTATCCTGGGCGGCATGCAGTGTGAAAGCTCAGCTTTTTACGTAGAGATGGGTGTAAGCTTCTGGCATCATACCTTACCGGCCCTACTAAACACTTTTGGTGTAACAAAGAAGAGAAAAGAAGCAGTGTTCCAAGAGGCCGGCCTTGTTGCTCTCAGAGTTCCTATGCTATCTGTGTAGGCAAAGAAAACAAGAAGAGGAGACCCTGCTACAACATCGCACAAAGACCACTATTCTCCCAACAACTGAGTGAGCTGAGGTTTGGGCCCTAAAACGATGTTTGAAAGCCACACTAGAATCCTCAGTCCATGATCAGTGAGTGAAGCTAAGCAGATACATAGATGGAGTTGCTATCAAAAGTATAGAACTCAGGTATCCAACATCGTACCTTGATTATATTGTAGTATTTTCTCTTCTCAGCTATATCCTTTACTGAAATAATTGACCATGAGAAATTTTTAACCGTACAATAATATGAGCGAATATTTTGAGAGGTTCTGGAAAATATAAACTGAATGCACGTCGCGCACTCCTCGCGGCACTCACGTGGTCACTCTCGAAGGAACTGTTGTGGCACGATGGGCGGCACTCTGGCGACATAGTGCCAACTTTCAATCAGTCGTTCAAAAGCAGTAAGACTATCAATATCCTTACATTATTACTTTTCACAATAACCACCGGTGCATGAAAGCATAACCCCTTATTTACTTCTTGTACATGACAACATGGCGATTATTGGACCAAAATCGCGGTGCGGCGACAAGCCAAATTAAGAATAATGCGCCGGCAAAATCGCGGCGAAGATAATGTAGTGCAGAGCTAATTAGATGTCCTAATAACACACTGAAGTACAAAAAAACGAATCACTCTCGGACTACTGGAATATACTAATCTTACGGCTGGATATTTGATGCGGAAAGATAAGTCATTCTCTATACACTCTTTCGAAGTATGAAGTTAGTTTATTCATTGTGTTTAAATGGTAAATTTTATTATCAATATCAATGGCTATGTGGCGCAGTTCGTTAGCTACCTGCTTTGTGAAATGCCTCGCATTCACAGGTCCTCGGTTTCGATTCTCGTCCTGTGCCGCTAGCCATGGGTGGCGTCGTTGACGCTCTGCTAAGGGTTCCTTGAGACCTATGCAGCCCCCCGTCTACTCATCCGAAAGCTCGAGAAATCGTGTGTGAGGGTTAAATGAGGAGCTGTACAGATCCAAACAGCAAGCTTCGCGAAGAAAGTGTGGTATAAAACCTTAACCGTCGCTGGCCTTAGTAGTTTAGTAACTTGAACCTCGGTATCCTTAAGTGCCAGTTACAGCGTAACTATGTATCCATGGTTGATCCGAAGTAAAGCATAAGGGTGGTCATTCAGTCGATGCCCTGCTGCAGCGCAGCTAATACAGCAAATTAGGAAATTAAAAAAAATACCGTTCTAGAATGCCTGCGGAGGCATTATTACTCCTTTATAATGCATTATGCACGTGTTAGAAAATTTAATAAAAGATAAAAATAATAAAGCTAAAATGAACGAAGCGGTGAAAATCTTAGAGGGTGAGAGGTTCTTTAATAAGACCTAATGATTAAATTTAACCGGACTGCTAGCGAGGAATCGAGAGTGGGAATAAAATAAAAGCGAAATAAATTCTAAGATAACGAAAAAGTGGTACAGAAAGCTAATGTCCTAACACGGAGTCTAGGAAAAACCTGTGAACCAAATAAGCAGAATGAATATATATATATATAAATAGGATACGATTCACCCTGGTCGCTGATTCCTCTAGAGCCTTCCATAGAACATAACATTTTTATTCACTTACTTACTTAGATTTAGAGTACTAGTAGGTTTGACTGGGATCTAGTAGGTTTTAGCTGGGATAGCCTCGCTGGACAACAGTATTGGTAGCGGTGTATCCTTTAGTAGGGGGCGTGTCGGGGAATGATTTTAATAAGCACAAGATAGAGGTGGAATTAACTTATTTGGGAAAAAATTCCACAGCTGTGCTGTTTTTACTCTAAATGAGTTAATAGTGTTATAGATTGAATCGAGCTAGTTCCTAGCTCTCTCCTGATTCTTCTAGAACCTTCCACGAGGACCAAATATCTCTTGATATTTACGGGTTAAACCACTAGTCCGTAAAGAGGACAGTTAAAACCACTAGTTCGTAGAGAGGATAGTTAAACAACGGTTAACTACCTTGTTTTAATTATAAACTTAGACCTCTCCGAAACATGTAGGTTTAGCGTAAGGGTCAAGGTTCTGCGATCTTACTTTGTTCATTATTCCGATTCCAATTATTCTGATTTTACCATCATACTATCTTTCACTTGAACTTCGAGTATCTATCTATTCTCCACGCACCGGTGATAACAATAGTGTGTAGCCACAGAGCGTGGTAGATTTTCTGTTCACTTTGTTGTTAAACTATCAGCTCCTGCCTTCTGTCCGAGGCCAGGGTAGTTGATTAGTTTAACACAGGGTAACGAACTCATATATTTTTTCCATCGCCTAAAAAGGCAATAGATGGTTAGAAGTGGTAGGATTTGAGAATGGGTATAGTGGGTATAGGTTTTTCGTCGTGTCACAAAGCAAAACATGCATTAACCTCCGCAAACACGTGCTCCTTTACAAATTATGATTTGATGGTCGCGCGCGCATTTTACAATGCTTTTATGTCAAGGTGTACTCTATACCAAGAATCGAGCTAATAAATCGTGTACGCCGCGCATGTATATCTCTCTTCGCTATTATACATTTTGATTAGGAGTCGTTTTTGGCGACATCTGTCCAACTTTCGGATCACATTTGTAATTTCGGATCACGTTTGTATTTCACAAGCTCACGTGTAATCTTATTGTGACGTTGCTTCCACAGTCGACTAATATAATGCTAATTTGATCCATTGAGATCTGATCCATCGATACGTGATTGACTATTTGAGGACAGGATCATGCTAGCCGTACACTAACAAGCTGTAACAAGCTGCCAATCACATCACAGCCTACATTACACACAGTTTTATGTCAAATATTGTCCAATTTTTGACATAAAATGAAAATAAACTATGGTAGAGTTCAGCTCAGGTCATATCTCAGTTCAGATCATGTCTCTAATTTGAAAATGGAAATGTGTCGTATTGCAATTAGATCACAATTTCGGACAGATGTCTTTTTTTTTCTGGTAACATATTGAGTCGGACAAGAGTCGCTGTCGGACAGATGTCTTTTTAACTGCATCATGCATATCACCGCACAGGCTGCGCTACGGTGTCCGGTCGTTTAACTTTCGATTCAAATAATTGACAACGGCAACCCCTCCATTTTGTTCTCTGTAACGCCCCAAAGAAATTTGGTAATTTAACCAATATGAAACGATCGTTAATTGTAATTAATTACGGTCGATGGAAATCTAGCGTCCGCTAACCGGCGCAATTCTTGTTACTGTAAACATTGGCCGCACCAAAGCACGAATTCCCACGTAGATCACTATAAATAGTTCGTCTCGCTATATATATATCGTCTTGCTTTGTATATTAATACAGTGTTTAATACTGTTTAAATAGTAAGATACCACTATTAGGATTTTTATGATTTATACAGTGTACACACTATGTTGAATTATTTCAATATTCTACCCAGAAAACCTTACCGGTTGCCGGGCTTGCTAGATGCGCTCTTTTCTCGATCTAACAGCATGCTTGTCTCCGCTGCTTGTATGTGTAATTGTCTTTGACTTTGCTTTTCGTGACCGCAACAATCTGCAGGCCATGTCAGGTGTATACTGGATGATATTGGTAGCAGTTTTGTTCGCAACCCTCCTAGAACATATCGATTTTAAGCAACCCAATATAGTGTAGATGTCAAATCAAGCCATCTTCAACCTTTTGTGAGGTTCTGGAGGTGTTCATATTTAACTTTGTTTTAAAGTTCTAATATCGTTTAATTATTTTAACAAATTTCGTAACCCACTGATATAATTTACTCCTTAGTTCGTTGAATGGTTGGTTGATCATCACAAACTTCAGGCATGCCTGACGTACTCTTGGTGGTAGCACTTGTCTTCGTAACCCTCCTAGACCATGTCGATTGTAAACAACCCAATATAGTAATAATAGTAGCAGATGACCTGGGATACAACGATGTAGGATTCAGAGGATCTATTGCACTGACTCCAAATATTGATAGACTTGCTAACAAGAGTGTGATTCTGGAGAATCACATCGTAGCTGCTAGCTGCTCTCCTACTCGATCTGCTCTTATGACTGGTCGGTATCCAATCCGAACAGGATTCTGGAAGGGAAATATCAAACCAATGGAGGAGTTTGGATTGGGATTGGATGAGACCTTGCTCCCTGAGATGCTGAAAACAAACGGATACTCAACACACGGCGTAGGAAAATGGCATCTCGGTATGCATACTTGGGAACACACGCCTGCAAAGAGAGGTTTCGATACCTGGTTTGGTTTGTACAACTGTCAACAGGATTATTTCAAACATACATTCAAGGGCAAGACAGACTTTAGGGAAAACTATTACGATGAGAATAGTAATTTAGTTGACGACGTACGGAATGATCTAACGGGACAGTATAACACATATCTGTTCACTGACAAGTCAATTGAGCTCATCCAAAACCACAACCAAAGCAACCCCTTCTTTCTTTATTTAGCATACACTGCACCTCATGTTCCCCACCAAGCTTCTAAGGAAGATGTAGAAAGATTTGCCTCACACATTCCTAAAAATACTCGTCAAAGAGAAGAGAGACAAATATATACGACTCAGATATCTGTAATGGATGAAGGGATAGGAAAAGTAATTGACACTCTACGTCTGAAAGGAATGATGGACAACACTGTTTTGTTATTCACTTCAGACAATGGAGCACATAATTTCGGAAGCAACTATCCTCTGAGAGGAGGTAAGAGATCTTATCTGGAAGGAGGCGTCAGAGCAGTATCCTTTGTGCACAGCCCACTCCTTGAAAAGTCTGGTTACACCAACACCAACTTACACCATGTGACTGATTGGTATGCTACATTCCAGAAACTAGCGGGAGACAACCCAGAGGAGCACAGTAAACCACAGTTACCAATAGACGGAGTTGACATCTGGAGATCTATCAATAATAACGAATCTTGCCGCGATGAGATTCTTTATGAATTAAGGGATCCTTCTAAAAGGCTGGACTCGGAAGGCAGAAATGGACTTGACAATGCCAAAAAATATCCAATCAACCTCAAAACATTTGAAGCAAAATTCCGCAAAGTAGAACATAAATTGTCTTACGACGCGCAAGACTTTTTCGTTATTCGATGGAAGAATTGGAAGCTTCTTGTCGGCACAGGAATAATGCTCCAAGGATGGACTTCAGAAAGTGGACAGAGAGACGAATACGAACAATTCATAAGTTACGGAGGAAAAATGCATCCTTGGTGCATAGTGTCTGGAACATTCCTTTTCGATCTGTCCACAGATGTCAGAGAGGAACACAATGTAGCTGATAAATATCCTGATATGTTGAAGAAATTGCTGGATAAAAAACAAGGATATTTGAACAAGATGAAGACGGTCGAAGAACGGAATTTTTCAGATAAAGGTAAGGTTGATGGAGTTTGGAAACCCTGGGTAGAACTATAAAATGGTTGAATGTGAAGTTGTTAAACAATGATATTTTTGCAATATACCTTATCGGACCTTATTTGGACGGACATTACATGAACGGACATAATTGTGAACGGACATTAATATGAACGCTCGAAGGCATTCAAAACCATCAAAAATCCGAATTTTTTTCAATTTTTGACGTTTTTTTAATTTCAGCAAATGATTTTTTAATCCATTTTTTATACAGTAAGTAAGAATAGCGTCATTAAGCAGTAAAAATGTTAAAATATGTGTACATGATCAGTGTCTAATATCACATATCATCTTCATTAAATGGGTTTTCGTGCAAGAAATAGTCCATGCTTAAACAAGCATCAGTGATTTCTAGCTTTGTGGAAACCTTTTTTATCATACTACCCCGGTCCTGCATTTCAGTGTTAACTTTTACAAGCCATTCGGCGTGAAGTGGTTTTATGTTAGACAACTTTAGGTTAACCTTAACATCACGTGAAGCTTTCCTAGCACTGTTTCATTACCTCCCCTCAGTAATATGAACTATAAAAACGTCGGACAATGTCCTTGGCAACACGATTTACCGTAATATCTAGAGGCTGGAACAAGTTTGTCATGTTGGCGGGGACTAGCTCATGAACTATGTTGTTGAGTGCCATGATTTCGTTGACTTTTTCCGCCAAGTGACCCTTGAAAACATCATATTATACTAGTAGAGTTTTCTGTGCCTCCGGCAGACCAAGGAGAACCTTTCCGTCGTTAACTTACGGCACAATAAAGTTATCATTGTCATATTCTGGGTAAAAAGTTCGCGATGGAAAAATTTTTGAAAAAATTTCAACGGACTTTAACTTGGACGGACATTAATTGAACGGACTTTATTTGAACGGACATTAAGATGAACGCTAGGGCCTCCATGGCGTTCAAGTAATGTCCGTCCAAATAAGGTCCGATAAGGTAGTTAATGTTATTACACCGATAAAAGAAAGAATCTCAATTTGTATTTAAATGGCTATCTGAAATTATTCCGTGAAAGAAAATTGAACGACCGTCATTACTGTTTTTCATAATTTCAATAATCCCTTAAGTTGAATTCAAATTGAAATAATATATAGTGGTAATAGTAGCAGATGACCTGGGATACAACGATGTAGGATTCAGAGGATCTATTGCACTGACTCCAAATATTGATAGACTTGCTAACAAGAGTGTGATTCTGGAGAATCACATCGTAGCTGCTAGCTGCTCTCCTACTCGATCTGCTCTTATGACTGGTCGATATCCAATCCGAACAGGATTCAGGAAGGGAAATATCAAACCAATGGAGTTTTACCCAGGGTTTCCAAACTCCAAAGCAACCTTACCTTTATCTGAAAAGAATCGTGCTTCAACCGTCTTCATCTTGTCCAAATATCCTTGTTTTAGAAATTAGAAATTAGAAATTGGACATTAGAAATTAGAAATTGGAAATTAGAAATTGGAAATTAGAAATTGGAAATTAGAAATTAGACATTTACTCTAGTAGCAGGGAGGAGTTGAGTGTGCACTTCGATGTCCACAGTTTTTTGCTGCTAAATCGGGTTAAATAGGTCATTGGTAACTCAAAAAATCGAGGGCCGCATGTTGTGTCGCTAGTCCCAACCCTGTGGAGCCACGCCCATATTTCATATCAGGTGCGTATATGGGAAATATGTATCTCAGCTTCTGGAGGTCTTAGAGACTCAAACTTGAGTTTAAAATGACCGCAATGCACATGTTTATATTGGTACTATGAAGGTCATGAAAGCCCAAAATGCTTATTTTTGGAAAAAATTCAGAAAAACCAATTTTCACTTGGGCGCGAGTAAAAAATTTACACTATAAATTAAGTGAAAATCGAGTAAGCAGTTCAGTGACTACAACATTTCTAAACACAGGGTCCTCTGCAGTTAGGTCATTCTAAATCGGAATTGGTAAAGTAAGCAAATTCTTTTAGTAGTTTTAACCCTGTGGAGCCACGCCCATATTTCATATTATGTGCGAATATGGGAAATTTGTATCTCAGCTTCTGAAGGACTTAGAGACTCAAAGGTGGGCTTAAAATGACCGCAATGTACATGTTTATATTGGCACTATGAGGGTCATGAAGGCCCAGAATGCTTATTTTTTGGGAAAATTCAGTAAAACCGATTTTCACTTGGGGCGTGAGTAAAAATCGACTCTTAGAAGTTAAGTGAAATCGAGTATGAAGTTCAGTGTCTGCAACGTTTCTAAACACAGGATCCTTTGTCAGGTCATTCTGAATCAGAAATGATAAGGTACGCAAATTCTATTGGTAGTTTCAATTCTAGCTCTAGGGTGCAAAACTCCTAAATTACCTCCAGGCGCAAATATGTGACTTTTCTATCTCGGCTTCTGAACGTTGTAGGGGCCCCTCTTTGAACTCAAAGTAACTACGATGGCCACATTTATATACCAACTGTAAAGAAACATAGGGTCTATACTCTATAGTGCTTAGTTTTTAAAACATGAACACATTCGGATAACATTTATGGAGCAGCACATACCACCTAACTTTAATTTTGGTATAACTGCGAAAATTCTCAGTTTCAGAAGCTCCTTCCAGCTATCTTAGGCTGCCTTCAGCTCCCTCTCTGGGGCTCTCTCCAGTACTGCTTGGCTATTATGGCTAATCAACTTGAATCCAACCTCATGTAGCAGAAACTACTTTTAGCTACATTCTGCTAACTCCATGTCAACTCTACCCAGCTACCACCATCAGTACGTCATAATTTTAGATCTTTCTAGCAACCTCTGATATGTATGCTACCTCTTCCTCTATCCAGCTACTATACCACCAGATGGCAGAAACCGCCTGTTTTCACCTACTTCGGCTACCTCTATTTAGCTACCACCAAGGTTCCTCCAACTTCTGCTATTTCTAGCAACCTTAGCTTAGGCTAGTGGGCTACTTCTTGCCCTGTCTAGCAATCATCAGCAACATTTTATTCTGGCGTTTAGAGGTTGCTAGAAACAGCAAATTTCCTCTTTCTTAATGAGCTCGAAATTTTTGGATGCAGCAGAGGTAGCACTCATATCAGAGGTTGATAGAAAGATCTAAAATTATAACGTACTGGTGGTGGTAGCTGGGTAGAGTTAGCAGAATACCAGAATGTAGCTAGAAGTAGATTCTGTTACATGAGGTTGGATTCAAGTTGATTAGCCATAATAGCCAAGCAGTACTGGAGAGAGCCCCAGAGAGGGAGCTGAAAGCAGCCTAAGATAGCTGGAAGGAGCTTCTGAAACTGAGTATTTTCGCAGTTATACCAAAATTAAAGTTAGGTGGTATGTGCTGCTCCATAAATGTTATCCGAATGTGTTCATGTTGAACGTTTTACTGTGCTGCAAATGAGATACCATAATTAATTACAAGTTTATGTTATTATTTTATGATGCATGAAGGTTAAAACAGTTTTTAATGAGTTTTTAAAAACTAAGCACTATAGAGTATAGACCCTATGTTTCTTTACAGTTGGTATATAAATGTGGCCATCGTAGTTACTTTGAGCTCAAACAGATTAGAGAGGCCCCTACAACGTTCAGAAGCCGAGATAGAAAAGTCATATATTTGCGCCTGGAGGTAATTTAGGAGTTTTGCACCCTAGGGTTAAACTACTAATAGAATTTGCGTACCTTATCATTTCTGATTCAGAATGACCTTACAAAGCTAAAGGATCCTGTGTTTAGAAACGTTGCAGACACTGAACTTCATACTCGATTTCACTTAACTTCTAAGAGTCGATTTTTACTCACGCCCCAAGTGAAAATCGGTTTTACTGAATTTTCCCAAAAAATAAGCATTCTGGGCCTTCATGACCCTCATAGTGCCAATATAAACATGTACATTGCGGTCATTTTAAGCCCACCTTTGACACCCCAGCGAACGCCGCGGGCTTCATGCGCCGCTAAAACGTTTAAATTTCATTTTTATAATTCTCCCAAGACTCCTGTTAAGACAAATTGCACATGTTTAGCTTAAAAACTACTCTGTTCTTAAAACAATTGTTTTAATCATCGAATACTGAAGAGTTCAATTCAATCCAAGGTAAATTGTTCAAATTATGAGTGATCATGAATGAAAAATGAATAATTTACACGTAAAATTTGCCTCAAAATTTGTTTTGAAAATCAACCATAACTCTGGCTATGGTTTGAATTTTGAAAATTTAAAATGCTAGTGCCGCGCACAAAAACGTTCCGCGCATTTAAAACGTGTCGATAATGCGCACAAACCAATGTCGCGTTGGATAATAGTATCCAAGCTGGTTGAATTCACAATTTTCATTTCTTGTTCCAGTTTGTAGCTTTGTGTGGCAGCCATATTGGTTTTATGCGTGCGCATATCTTGCGCGCTATCTATATATCTTACCGTTAAATGTACGTTTACAGATTTAATCGAGATCTCTGCGAGGCTTTCATAATTATGTATGATATAGCTTGATATGCTGTTACTTCAAATTGCTGTAATTTCTATTTATATTGACTGAAGTAGAGTACAAAATAAAATTATTTGCTCTCTAATTTTAAGGATGTCGACCTGCAACTGAAATTGAGTGATATTCGACTATTTCAATTTAGATTCGCTAGTCAACAAAATGATTGCTCACTCCGAAATAACGACTTTCAAGGAATGGTATGTACCCTATTATTTACAACAAGGCTCCCAGCATTATAGTAAAACATAGACAATAGACAATATTTTAATATAAACTATAATTAATTTTTGACCGGGAACATTCAGCAGTTAACTTTGTCGTATTTTAAAACAAGTAACTCGGGCCCAGTTCGTAGAGAAGATGGATTTGCTGTATTTTAAAACAAGTAACTCGGGCCCAGTTCGTAGAGAAGATGGATTTGCTGTATTTTAAAACAAGTAACTCGGGCCCAGTTCGTAGAGAAGATGGATTTGCTGTATTTTAAAACAAGTAACTCGGGCCCAGTTCGTAGAGAAGATGGATTTGCTGTATTTTAAAACAAGTAACTCGGGCCCAGTTCGTAGAGAAGATGGATTTGCTGTATTTTAAAACAAGTAACTCGGGCCCAGTTCGTAGAGAAGATGGATTTGCTGTATTTTAAAACAAGTAACTCGGGCCCAGTTCGTAGAGAAGATGGATTTGCTGTATTTTAAAACAAGTAACTCGGGCCCAGTTCGTAGAGAAGATGGATTTGCT